CGGTGGAGCCGCCACCTCAGACGAGCTCACCACCGTCAAAGACCTCCGCCTCTAACTCGAAGACTCCATCGAATCCCGCCGCCCCTCTCAACACGACCTCGTCTCCTCTCTCCAAGCCCTGATCCCTAACCTCGTCTCCTCCCTCGATCTCTCCCTCCAACCCATCCCCGGCTTCAACCGTCACCCTTTCGCCCCCACCCCTAACCCCAACCCTAACCCCGACTCCCGCTACCGCCCCAACGACCACCTCTTCCTCCGTTGTACCCACCCCAAACCCTCGCCGGAGCCCAAAACCTCATTTCCTGCAGTCGCCGGAGATCGCCTCCCCGTCATTCATACGATGGTGATGGTTGATATAGCGCTTCGTAGAATTTTAAAGGAGAATGGGGGAGTGCAGCTTGAGGATTTTACTGTTAATGGGGGGAGGAGATGTGAGGTGGGGGGAGACATGGATTGACATCGCCTTTTTTTTTTAGAACTGCACGGGACTACTTCAAAAACTGTGAAATCGATCCTTTTCAGTGGAAATGGTCGTGTTTGGTTCAAAAGTCGTTGCTGTGGAATTCATTATAACTTTGTTCGATTATAACAAATTCGAAAGAATAATCTTTTTATAAGACTTTTTCTACACAACAAAACAAAAATTACAACTCTTGAGAAACAAACACGAAAATCGTCTATCAATTCTCGTTTTCGTGGGACTTTGCCTGTGCCGGGAACGCTTTGGTTCGTGGACCGCCGATTCACAGATCGTGAAGAGGGGGCTTATGATTCTAACTTCGTTATCGAAGTAGAAATTGAAACGATATCTTATCGAAGTAAGATAGTCGTTCTTCTTAAAATCAAGTCGAAGCTTAATTTCAAGGCGTTGCAAGAAAAGAACTCAAATCTCTGCTCTCTTTGCTCTGGAATGCTCTAACAAATGCTCGATCCTCGTCAGAAGTGACCCTAGGGGGGTATTTATAGCCTCAAGGGTCAGTAACTGCAAAAACTTAACAATCGAAGAAGTCAGTACGGCGAGACAGTGTTTACTGTCTCGCTGGGCGAGACAGCGTTTGCTGTCTCGACCCGCGAGACAGTAAATTTGCTGTCTCGCTCAGCGAGACAGTAAATGTTGTCTCGGAAAATAGCAGTTTCTCGCTGTAACTGTTCTCTCACGTTTCAAACTCCGTTATTTTGGCAGTTATCCACATGATTTTCGCCCATGATGTTTCCCACGTCCCT